TAAAGATCAGAATTTTTGAAAATCAGCTTGAATTTGAGGCCGAGCATATCCGCATACATGACAATTTTACAAAATATAAGACTATTTAAGGCCCATTTTCAAGCCAGTTAATTCATAATTAACATCATTATCATTATAAGACCCAAGGCCTAAGCAACGTGTAATTGCGAATTTTCAATGAACTTCCGAGTTTACGATGTCTTAAGCTGGATCCGAATCACCCGAGATGCCCGATTCGAAATATAAACGTAATACGAGACGCCACACGTCCTTTATATTCCGATGAAGGCACCTACCTAGCCGACAATAAACGAATCATAGAATAAGACTCGAGTATTGCACGCGCCCCTACCCAACGCGAACAAAGCGATCGTCCTAAGGGGCGCCTGCGACGCGAGTCGAGCGCATCCTCAAATACGTCCGAAGGAACTGATTAGTGTGCACGTGCCTGTCCGGCCACCCCAAACATTGCGGGGGAGGCTCGGAACGATGCGTGTCGCGCGACCCGGCTACCTCGAACTCTAGGTGACACGCCCGCCGACGACACGCCGCAGATCGTCCTCCTTACCTTCGACGATGCCATCAACGATCTCAATCGACAGCTCTACATCGATCTGTTCGAGAAGGGCCGCAAAAACCCCAACGGCTGCCCCATCAGTGCCACCTTCTATGTCTCCCACGAGTGGACGGACTACAGTCAGGTGCAGAACATGTACGCCGACGGCCATGAATTGGCATCGCACACGATCTCGTAAGTGCCATGCCGGCCAATTGTGATGCCTCCTTCCCATCAACGAACGCGCGACTACTCGATCTAACCTCCCGCGACCTCCCTCCATGGTCGTCCACGTAATGACATCGGTTACGTCGCCTTCGATCCTCCATTAACAGGCCTTCGCATTGGATACGAACGGACGTGAATCTCTAACGATCCGCCCCACGACTCGCCTATTAATCTCGTGTTGTGCCCGCCACTTTACGTTCATACGAGCCCGGGAAGAGCTTTCAACGCAACTCAAAGCGGAAAATTTTGCCAACTCGGATGCTTTCAAGGCTAATTGCGCAACACTATCGAGCACCATTGCAGTGATACGTCTTTTTTAAGCACATTTTAAAAGCTCTGGCATAGCGCTATAAGCCCAATAGTTACGAAACGGTATTTCAAGAGAAACTTTCATGGAGGGAATATCGTCGCGCGGATACTCCGATCGCCTATTATCGGTAGCGCTAAATGATAGATTCGCTGCACTTGGAGTTCTTATTTGAGTGAAACGACCGTTCATCGCTGCGATTCAGTTGCGCAATATTTTGATGTAACGTTTCTTAAGCGCTCGAAAAATAACGAACTGGGCGTGATCCGACGAAAGGAGGAAAACTCGTTCGCCTCGAGCGCGATCCCCGGCTGACCGAGTGCGCGATTTCATGCTTCGTTCGGGGCTCGATCGATTAGACTCGCTCGATAGCAGTCGATCGATCGCATTCTTGATCGCTCGAGGAGGCTCCCATACTCGACTAAATCGCCGGCTTTCGCGGCCACCGCGAGATAACCGAAGATACGAACGATTCCGAAGATCAATCGCCCGCATCGTCCTTCAATGGAAATCGATATTCCACGGTATGACGATTTATTTGATAATCGCATATTTTCAATAGCTAGCGAGACTTGCATCAATACCGAGCACAAAAGCAAGCGTATATAAACATAAACTACTCGTTAATTCATCTATCTATCTATCTATCTATCTATCTATCTATCTATCTATATATATATATATATATATATGAGATTGTTTAACGTGAATAGTCATTAGAGCGATTAATGAACATTTATCGATTTCGTAAAAATTGACAGTTAAATAAATATAAAGAGACATTATGCGCGGCACCGTAGGCACGAGCGATTGTCCGAAAAATTCTAGGAACGTTAAGACTATAGAAAGAAAAAAGTTCGATAAAGGATGGTGGCCCATGATAAAATGACGCGGTTTCAACTTCGTCTAATGAAAAAAAAAAAGAAAATTTCTAAACTTACAAAATTGTGCAACGTCGTTTGTGAAAATTTCCCCGAATCCGCGGGACTTTTTTGTCACGAGGCGTAAAGTATACTTCAAGCGCTTTCGATAAGGTAAATATTATCGGCCCGCAATCGGTGATCAATTTAATTAAGAGGTATTTAACGAGCCCGGCCTCCCTTTCGCAATATTCAATCTGCCGGGCGAACAAGCTTGATAAATCAAAGCCGCAGGCCCATTATAATAATCGACCGCGGCGCCGATTCCAATTACCGTGGACTCGGAAGTGCGCGCGAAATGATCGCTGATCAGCCATTACACATTGCTGCGAAAGAGCGGAAGTTCCGGAACAATAGGTGAAGGTGAAGGAGGAGGAGGAGGAGGAGGAGGAGGAGGAGGAGGAGGAGGAGGAGGAGGAGGAGGAGGAGGAGGAGGAGGAGGAGGAGGAGGAGGAGGAGGAGGAGGAGGAGGAGGAGGAGGAGGAGGAGGAGGAGGAGGAGGAGGAGGAGGAGGAGGAGGAGGAGGAGGAGGAGGAGGAGGAGGAGGAGGAGGAGGAGGAGGAGGAGGAGGAGGAGGAGGAGGAGGAGGAGGAGGAGGAGGAGGAGGAGGAGGAGGAGGAGGAGGAGGAGGAGGAGTAGGTGAAGGAGGAGGAGGAGGAGGAGGAGGAGGAGGAGGAGAAGGACAAGGAGTTACCGCACTAGCTACTACCGCTACTGCTGTTGCCGCTGATGATGTTACGCTGGCTCTGATATCTTTTGTGTATTCGTATTTCCATCGCTCGCCTTTCGACTACTCTAACTATATAATTCGCCAAAAACATGTGTGCGTGCATGGACGTGCGTGTATAAATAACTATCGGTCTATGCATTTATCTCCGTTATGTATGTGTATGTGTTTTCTCTAACGCTACAGCGCACACTCGATTTTTTCCTTGGGACGTTCATTTTTTCGGACGTCTCGCGCCATCGCGACCTGGATGTTAAATGCCTTGTCGATACGTTTCATCGCAATTTTCCACCATAAAAAACAACTTTACGAAAGCACATCTATATATTACATGTTATAATTCTTATTGCTGATTAAATGAAATACTGGCTTGCTTTTACGTTTCTTAAGAACAAGTACGCTATCGCAGATTTTATTACGTTTGATTTGGAACTTTTAAGTAAATGCATTTTAACGTTATTTTAATGCTTAATGCGCTATCATGAAATGGCTTGAGTGTGAATAACTACATTTACGTCGTTTGCCAGCATCCTTACTTATTATATCTTATCCGTCGATCCATAAATGTTTTGAATTCATTAACATTTTCACAACATAATCATATTTTTTATTAAGTAGTATGACAAATGCTTCCTCATTACTTAATAACACTTCAACGTCAAACGAAACCTAAAAGTCTTATCGAATTAGAAAATTTTCTGTCATATTGTCCTTATTTATTTTTACATTGATATTAGCAATACGTATTGTTGAAAATCAAAGATTCGGCTTAAACAACTTAAAGTGACTTTGTTGTAAACGATTTGTGAAACTGTAGACGATCTAATCTCCGGCACTTTGATTTCAAGTTGGCGAGTAATGCAATTAAAACTAATAATCTCCTCTCGTCCAGAAGCAAGTCCTATAAATAAAGAATTTATCTTCGTGCCACTTTAAAAATTAATTTACCACTTTTCACACTGTAATCCGATTTCGTAAGCTTTTTTTCCGATAAACTTCTTCACTCTTAATAAGACTGAAATAGTAGTGAAAGCCATAACATATAAATTAACTTCTTAGTCAACTGCAGCAAGTCCGAATCCTGGTCATTGAAACTTATAAGTTATGTGACGTTAACTTATACGCGTCTGGGGGCTTTCTCTACTGTCTCTATATTCGTAAGAGTGAGAAGCCGATTGTAATACGGGCTTAGTCGCGTGAAAAATTATACTCTAAATTTTGAATCACTCAAAGCTTAAAGCGAGAGTCCCGTGGCACGAAGTATCGCGTGCAAGAAACGCTCAACGGCAGCTGCTCATCCCAACCAGCTCATTTCCATTTTTTCTTACTTTCCCCGAGAAGTACTTTGCCAAGATTTATGCCATTTCGAGGAAGAGCATTTTTCAATAATTGAAGAAAGTAAATTAACGGATAATTTGCGGGAGCGCGACGAGCGTCTTAAAGAACGTATTTGCTGGAACAATGGGAGCCACGAGCTCGGAGGTGAGACAAAACGTGAAAAATGAATACACCATGGGGTCGGACACTGACAATGGCATGGAAATAAAGAGATGAATACTATCCACGGCGCGAGCGCGAGACGTTCCCATTTGAATAATCCGACCACGTCCGCCGCGGGAAATCGCGTCCTCTCGCGGGACATTTCGCGCCTCAAATGCATAAGAGAGTTTCTCCCGCGAGATGACAATAAATAAGATGCTGTGCCGAGGTTGGGCTATTAAAGAAAAAAGAGCCTGAAAAAAAAAATGAAAACGAAGCGCGTCATCGTTTTCTCCCGGCGGACGTGAACGCGACATACTCAATTTCCACATGGGATACTAATATATCGAAGCACTAACGCATTATGTGTTTTATTTTTCTCATTCCACTCCCTTCCTACTATTGCCCGCCACTCCCCTCACCACTGCCAATTTATCATTCGCTCATACGTACGCGATATACTCGACGCAACGACTCACGACGTCACGTGTACGCCAACTGGTCACCGCCACAACCGCATATAATTCTAATTATACGCATCCACGCATGTGCGTGCAATCACCGAACGACCACGACCATCACCACCACCACCACACCACTACCACTATTACGCCAATGACACGTACAATTACGATGACGACGATGACGGCGATGACGACGATGACGCTGATGACGACGATGACGACGATGACGACGACGACGACGATGCGACCACCGCCGCCACCAACGCCACCACCACCAACACCACCACCGCCACCACTATCAATGAAATAAAATCATTAGGGGAATACCTGCCCGAGGAGATACCGCAGATCGTCCTTCTCACCTTCGACGACTCCGTCAACGATCTCAATAAGGGACTCTATGCCGATCTGTTCGAGAAGGGCCGCAACAATCCCAACGGCTGTCCCATCAGTGCCACCTTCTACGTCTCCCACGAGTGGACGGACTACAGTCAGGTGCAGAACCTGTATGCCAACGGGCATGAGATCGCCTCGCACACGGTCTCGTAAGTAATGGACCAGAGGAGGAGCTAAGACGGCTACCGGTCACGCGCTCGTCCCGGTATTTAGGCCCAACTCGCTTAACTCACCGACCACGTTCATTCGGCCTCTGGCTCAGCTTCGGCTCACAAATTTTTTTTTATTTATAAATCTTTTTGACTATTGCTTCGCATCTCCGAACCACAGCCGCACGAGTTCCCGATTGACTTTGCGACAAATTTTCCACTTCCTTACTGACCGACCATCCACCGGAGCTTTGTGTGTCGACTCTGCTAAACTAAGCGCTTTAACACCTCCATTTTTATGTTTAATGAAGCAAGATGAGAGGCATTACCGATGGCAAAATTCGTAATAAGCTTGAATCACTCGTTTTTCTAGATAACTAAAGGGTCGAATTGAGGCTAATTGTGATAATGGGAGTTAAGATTGCTTGGAATAAGCGAGCCTCCGGTCGTAAAATCAACCGGATTAATAATGATAAATAATAGAAGTGTAATGGATTGGTTGGCGTATGTGGAAATCGTTTCGCCGCAAAGAAAGCGAGTGGGACGAAGCATGAGAGAAGCGGCAAAAAAATCTGGGCACTATAATAATCAATCGGTAGTAGTTGTTAATTGCGATAAATGCCAATTGGCGAGAGGAGGCCGGAATCGGGAAAAAAAAGTTAATTATATGGGATAGAGACGGTATGGGGGCCTGCAATGAGAAAAGACGCGCAATGATGAATCGCGGGGAAGATGCGCGAGTGCGACCGAGAATTGTAGCGACTCGACGATGACCTGCCGGTCGCACGCCAAGGGTCGCGCCTGGACGCGGATGGGGCGAGAACTCGTCCTTCCTTCCGAGATCGACCCTCGTGCTCTCGCGTGGCTCCTTACACATTACGAATGGTACGTAAACATCCCTGCCAACGACGCTGCTCGTTAATAAAAATAGCGGCTCGGACGTAGAGGAGGGACGAGGGCTCCGAGAGTCATGACCCCGAGCGAGACACGCATTCGACCGTCGAACGGCCAGATCGCGCTTTGCGTACCTTCGGATCGTAATTTTCGGGCATTATGGCCTTACGGTGGTGGTCATTATTAGCGATGATCAACCGATACGCCGGCGATAAGAATAGGCCGATCGGGGCCGTGACTACCTAACGCATTATTTGTTCACTCATGCTGTCCATCTTTCTTTTCTCTCTCTCTCTCTCTCTCTCTCTCTCTCTCTCTCTATCTTACGACACGCACAGGCACAGTTTCGGCGAGCAATTCTCCCAGCGAAAGTGGTCCCGCGAGGTCGCCGGCCAACGAGAGATTCTCTCCGCTTACGGAGGTGTTAAATTGGAAGATGTCAGGGGAATGAGAGCTCCTTTCCTCTCGGTAAGTAATCATTTTCGCATACGCACGATCTCGTGACTGACATTAATGTCTGCTTGCTACGTCACGTTGACGATCTTATTTACTCTAATTTGACGTTAATGCGAGCATTCTCTTCTCGCTTATTTCCATTTTACATCCTTAATTATATGACATTGTAATGTTTTCATTGGACGAGGAAGCGGCCGAGGCTCATTAAGGAAAAGCTTAATGGTCAAAGGACTAGCGCGTTGCTGACTCGGATAAGCAATCTCAATTACATCGATACAATTAGCGTCTAATGGGACTTACCAATTGCTCGATACGACGTAACGAAACTCAGTTCGCGAATTATCGGTAACCACGTTTATTTGTAAAATGTTGGGTTTGCGCGATCGCGATGCCATTCGAAGTCTTGGCGAGGAGGCTATGAGTGCGCCACCTCGAAGAAACAAGTACATAAAACGAGAGAGAAAAAAATGCTAATCTATGTTTTTTTTTTACTCGCCTCGTAAGCATAAGTTTTATCGTTTCGGAGCAAATGATTTGTCGACATGTGGGTATTTATCGCGACCGCTTCGTAAAATCTCGAATTCCTAGACGTCCATAAACATCCCGCGGCATTTGTCAACAAAGGATAAATAAATGCTGATACGCTCGCGATTCGTAGTACAGTCGGAGTCTTGACGTTTGGCTCGGAGAATAGCGCACCTCCGTTGCCCCATCAATCTTCCGAGCAATTACCGATTTACGATTAATGACGCGGCGTTCGTAGAAGGGGGCGGCGAGTAACTCGGGACTCGGAATTTTCGCGCCGCTATTGTCAAATAAGCAAGATGTTTGGGCGCCGGTAATATTGAAAGTCCTCTAGACCTTTATGTCACTATCCGGGATGACGCGATCGCGACCACGCGACAACTCAAGAATGACACGGCCGCACCTCTTACCATACTCTTAATCTCAAACCGATACATATCCCCCCCCCTCTCTCTCTCTCTCTCTCTATCTATGTATCCCTCCTCTCCTTGCTCGCGTTAACTAATTTGATAAATAGTGAAGCAATTCACGGATTCGCACGGGATTAATAAAGTTATGGCTGACTCATCGACTGATTCGTTTGGATTCGAGGAAAGTGAATTGGCCTTATGAAAGCGTATTATTGGTAAAATTATTGGTAACCTTAATTTTAAGTATCTATCAATGTCCTATTTTGTTAAAATTAGACCATTTACAGCCTTTTTTTTTTAAATCGCGCTCTGTTTTTGGCAAACTTTTTCTTCCTTCGTTCGTCGAATCAAGCGCGAAGAGCATTGAGAACCGTGAAGCTCGCGAAGCTAATTAACGGATTAATTAAAATGTAAGTTATTTGAAGATGCAATAGGAGACGAAGGCCTCTGCGGTGCGCATTAGGCCATAATTCACGACGAATGAGCAAACGAAAATAATATATGTCGACTTGCTTGTGGAAATGCGGTAAAAAGAAAGTATCGAGCCTGGCTCGATCGAGAAAGTAGAGTTCGATAAAATGAGCAGCCAACGCGATCGGTCGATGATTCCAGGAAAATGCAGTCGCCAGAATTTAGAAGACAATGAGCGCGACGAGTTTTTTTTATGTTCGTCCCCAGGTCGGCGGCAACAACATGTTCAAAATGCTGTGGGACACGAACTTCACATACGACTCGTCGATGCCCATCTACGAGAACAGACCACCCAGCTGGCCCTACACCCTCGACTACAAGCTCTTCCACGACTGCATGATACCGCCGTGCCCGACGAGGTCGTACCCGGGACTCTGGGAGGTGCCGATGGTGATGTGGCAGGACCTGAACGGCGGCAGGTGTTCCATGGGTGATGCCTGCAGCAATCCCCCGACCTCCGACGGTGTCTACAAAATGCTGATCAAAAACTTCGAGAGACATTATACCACCAACAGGTCGGACATCCACATATTCTTTAACAATTCGAAATTCTCGTGGAAGGAACAGCACCGCTGCATTGGCTTCTTTAGCAAATAACCGTTACTGATTCCACGGTTATTTTACCACACTTTTCAGCTTACTTTTATCTTCAAATTACGCAATAATAGCTTAATCACGTTACTAAGCATTTATACAGTAATTGGAGAATTAATCGGGATCTAATTAGAAAAACAATGAATTTTAATGGCTACACTTAGTCTCGATTGCCCATTACAACATCAATCATCATTACTTTATGGCTTATCAGTAAAGAAAGAACTTATTATAAATATATAATAATAACGAAACGACTCTTAATGATAAATTGTGTGATATAATTATATGTAATAAAATTTTAAGTCTCCATATCCTTTGGTAATATTAGGTTTTGCTTGAAAAATACAAAAAAAAAAAAGAACATTAATAAATAAATAAATTCCACGGTCTTTACTACAATTTTTGTCTAAACAATTTCTTTAAATGTCCTTGAGAGCTTCGATAAAAGTAATGTTGACATTTTTTTTTTTCACAGAGTTTTTTAATTTTAGAGCAATTTCCTCGGAGCTTAATAGAAACAATGAATAAAATAAAATAAATTAAATTAAATTAATATAGAGTTTCATTAAGCGAGAGAGAGAGAGAGAGAGAGAGAGAGAGAGAGAGAGAGAGAGAGAGAGAGAGTAAAGAAAAGAGAAGACGAAAATTACATAAAAATAATAATTCTTTGGGTATATATAAATTACTATAACAATGCAACGATTAATATTCAAGGTTCGAGCACTTATGAAATAAAATGATTAACAAATTTATGTTGCCTGGATAAAAGCCAATTTTTAAAAGATCATTTTTAATTCGATGATTTAAATCTGCTGAAAATATACTTTTCAAGATATACTCAAAGTAGAAAAAGTAATTTCAAAGCCATTTAAAGTATTCTCCAATTGTATTGAATTATTAATTTGGTAAGTAAGGTATTTAAATAGGCTCATAAATCCGTGTGGCGATATAAATCAACGATTGCAGGACAAAATAGCATCTCCCATAAATAAAACCCATAACAAGGAAGTAAAAATATTTATTCGTGCTTTGATACACTCGTGAAATATCACAATTTTCAGCTTGACTCTGTTTTATGTAAATTAATATTCTGCATGCGACTAGACTTCGCATATACAAAAATTACTTCACAAAATACATATGCTAAAGGCTACATGGGAAAAAAGAACGTTTAAGGACGTTTAACGGGTACGTGTGTACACATACTCTCACCCAATGGGGCCGACACATCCAAGTTTAGTTCCTTACGAAGCCACTCGCTCGCGTCTGCCCACAAACATATGTCGATTCTCGTCAAAATATCTCACATAACGAATCTACAAAGCCAAATAACCTTCCGTTTTATAATTATATAAACATGGCTATTATAATTATTTATAAGCGCATTGAATCTGCCCGATATGCTTTACATAAAAAGGCTTCTTAAAGCCGCGCGAGAAGAAATATTACAGCCATCGCGCAGTACATCCGCACAATACAGAACAAGATTTTATCAAAGAAATTGATTAGAAACGCGTGCATCTGCTCTTTTGTTTTCAGAGCTCCGTTCGGTCTGTTTTACCACGCCGCCTGGTTTACTCAGCCACACCATAAAGAAGGCTTCATCTCCTTCCTCGACACGATTGTTGCTATGGATGATGTTTGGGTTATTACAAACTGGCAAGCACTTCAATGGGTCAGGAATCCCACGCCCCTTGCTCTCCTCGACAGATTCGAGCCTTTTGGATGTAATTTCCAGGTGAGCCCAGCTTCCATTAATTCGAATGAACGAACGCCAAAAACACTTCCAAGAGGGACATTTACTTTATTGATCCTATCCTATCTGATCAGTCACTAGCGCGTTAATTCATAGTTCTAAACATTTTATTTGAGTATTTCAATGTCACGTATTAGCAGGCAAATTCGTACATTTCAATCATGTATTATTGAATAGTTATTTGTTGTTGCTTTATTTCTTTTTTTTTTATGTTTTGATGTTAGTCGAATTTACAAATCATTTTGAAAATCATAACAAACCCTAATGAAATAGAATAAAAGAATTTCATAGAAATATTTAGTGCCAGATATGTTATAATTATTATTATTATTATTGCAGTTTCTAGAGTAACTACTAATTATTGTAATTGTATTCTCAAAAACTGATGCTTTGAGTTGTACGTCAGATTCATTTACTTTTTTTTTTTCAATTCAATTATTATTTAAAACTGTATTTAATTTAATTAAATTGCTATTTAATAATTCTTTTTTTATTTTGAATTGTTGTCATTGTTGAATTTTACTCGCTAATATGGAGGCGTAAATGGAGTTGGTATAAAAATGTAAAAAGGACAGAGAATGAAATTATATTGTGATTGCAACGATAAAAGTATTGCACCAGCATATATATATATATAATAATGAAATGAGAATGAGAATAACTGATAATGTATGAGAATGCAATAAGAAATTCTCGAGTCTACAAGTAACTCTCGTAAACTCACATTGATCAAACTATCGAACAATACAGATATTTATTGATAATACTAATTTACATTTAGAAATACATATAGTAAGCAATTGCACAATGCCTCAATGATGAATTTTATAGTATTTCTTCAATTCGATTATCTTTATATAGCAAGAAATATAATGTCCGATTGGTTGGAAATTTACATACTAAACAGACAAAAGAAAAATCAAGTAATAAAATTCTTATTGAAAACACGCATCCTTACAAAATCATAAATAAAGGTGCTGGTATGCAAACCAATCGGATCCGTTCGATAAATCCGTGTAGATAGATAAGACTGTGTAAGATACAAAATTTAGAGAGAGAGAGAGAGAGAGAGAGAGAGAGAGAGAGATACGAGGAGTAGGAAACAATGAAACAACCTATTTAAATGGCGATCTCGTTTTCCTTGTTCAAAAATGCAGGATCGACCGAAGAAGTGCAACAACCCGAAAGTATGCAACCTGTGGCACAAGAGCGGCGTGCGCTACATGAAGACGTGTCAGGCCTGTCCGGACATCTATCCATGGACCGGTAAGACGGGGATCCGCAGCAGTCGCATCGACAACGACATCGACGGCCACGAATGAGCGGCGCCGTCTATCACACTTCTCTCGAGGCTGCGGCCAACGGTAGAGTGAGAGCGAGCGTGCGTGTAAAAAAAGAGATAAATAGAGGTAGTGAGGGAGAGAGCAGTGAGAAAGAGATGTTGACGAGAGCGCGGTGGGAGGGGTGGGGAGGAAGAAAGAAAACACAAAAGCCTTTACCGAAGGTTCGCTATACGCTAGACGTGTTTTTCGAATCTGTTGTTCTATTGAGTGATGAGTGAGTGTGGGTGGTTGGGGGGGGGGTGGGGGGGGGGGTGAGCGGTGGTAGAAGAGAGATCAAGAGGACGCGTTTTGGACAAGCTAGTGCGTACGCATGCAGTGTGGCTGTGTGTGGGTGTATGTGGGTGTTTGTGTGTGTGTGTGTGTTTGTGTGTATGCGTACGTGCGTACGTGCGTGCGTGCGTGCGTGGGCGCGTGTCCGCGGTTCTGCGTTCGCGTGTGCGTGTGTATTGCAATGCTTAAAACTATTGTACGTAGAAAAAATTTAACTAGACAATTATCCATTCTTATCAGGGATTGCGGCCCGGTGGCCAGCGAATTATTTGATCATCTTATTTTTGTAATCAGGTAACGGATACTTGATAAAAACAACATGGTTTTCAAAGAGGATCGAACGGTCTGGTTGTCTCTGACATCTTTGCTTAATGGAAATTCAGGGATTTTTATGCTTTTTCGGAAGCTGAGAGAAATTTCTCTCTTTCCTTAGAGGGCGCCAAGAGGAAAATCATTTGAATAGTATAAAATTTATCTAGCGTGTTCGAAGAATCGATACGAATGGGAGATGCTTATCTCAATATAATTCTAGGCAACGAGGACATATTTTAATCAAAATAACAGGAAATTTCACATTGATACGGACATGAACGTTGACGTGGGGGACACTTTTTCTTCTAATCTAAGCGTGAAATGCTAAACGTTAAATAAAATATGTCATTATAGGGCGCAACTGTACAATAGCATAAGAAAACTTAGATCCCGACTGCATCCGTATTGCACGTAATTCGTGTGCATTCGAGGCGCCAGTCTTACGTCATTAAAGAAAAATGAATGAAATCCTCGAACAGTTGCCGTAAATTCATTATCAAGCCTTAGGGACGTCTGTTTTCTGCAGCGTTTATGTTTCTTTTTACTTTTACCTTGAATCACAGAGATTTGCATGGCGATGCTTAAGAGGTCGGGGAGGCGAAGCTTAAGTGAAAGCTTATTATTTTGTCGTGAAAAAAAAAAATATGAATCCCATCGAGTGAAGTAGCTGCTTTTGAAAAACACAGCCATTTTTTAAGCCAATTATATTATTTTTTGTAACTGCTTTTATTTTATATTTTTAATAGATAAAGAGTTCATACAAGGTTATATTTTACATGTATTTACCTTTACGCAGCTCAAAATCAAAGTGGAATTTGCATAGGTCATCGAATTTTTTTAATTTCACATTTATATGTAAATCCATTTAAAAAAAAAATCAATGCATATTTTATCGTATTCATATGGTGAGTATGAAACTTTCCACTGCGACTCTGAACTGCATTCGTTCCATAATAATAATCTTCGTCCTATACTTGAATCAAAGTTTCTCGTCTTTGTAACAGGGCATCGGTACGTTTGCCAAAATGCCACCTCATCCAGCAATAATCAATGCTTTTCACTTTCGTGCAGGTGACGAATGAAATCACGTACAACAAAGTCGGTTTCACAATATAATCCACCACCTTTTAGATGAGCCATATAAATGATATCCCCAGTGCATACTAAATTATTACTATATATATATATATATATATATATATATATATATATATATATATATATATAGAGAGAGAGAGAGAGAGAGAGAGAGAGAGAGAGAATATTTTAATATATGGACGAGTGCGCACACGAGGATTCGTCGTCGCTCGCGACAACGAAAGCTCTCTTGGCTCGTACGAATTTGCCAATTAATAACCGGATAGATGGAGAGCGACGGACGTCTGCGACTTTATTCGCCACCTCATCTGACTTTCTTCCCTCTCGGGCCCCGTGAGCGAAGACGAGGGGCTTTCTTTTATAATTATAAACGACTATTGCAATTGTGCGTAATAAGAGATCGGCGGGAGCTTGAGAGTCGGCCGCGCCGAGTACGTCACGAAATATCGAGGGAGAAAGGGGGTCCGGTTCGCACTTGCAAAGACAAAAAAAGAAAAAGAAAACAAAACAAAAAAATAAATAAAAGAGAAAAAAGAAAAATATAAAACGGGAAAGAAGGGTGAAATCGAACGTGTAAAAGTTATTCGACCGGCGATCGCGATCGCTTGACCCGCGCCCAGTCATGGTCCAACCATTTTCTATTTACATGGCAGGTGGCTATTGTCCCATTGCCTGACCAAAGCGTCGATCGCCGGTCCAAGGCGACGACCCTTACACAATTATCATTTCACTACTATAACTTTAACTTCTTATTATCGCTACTATCATTCTTATATTATTATTATTGTCATTATCATTCGTAGCAATTGTTATATTATAACAGCGATAACAACAAAAACGATAATTATTATGACAACAATAATGATATTAATAATAATCGTCATAATAGTGGTAATAATAATAATAATAATAATAATAATAATAATAATAATAATAATAATAATAATAATAGTAATAATAATAATAATAATGCTATTATATCGATAATATTATTATATTAATATTGTTACAATCATCATTATTATCGCCCTTGTCATCGTTGTCATCCTTCACATCCTAATTATTATACATAATAATTATTATTAATACTATGTGTACTAGCGCAATTCGTTTGGATTATTTATTTCTTCTCTGTATGCTTTCCTTTTACGTGCTTTACGAGCGATTACATTATGCTCGTTCGGCCAGAGGTTTAGCTCTTTACTCGTTCCCTCACATTCTTAATCATTACCACTCTGTTCTTACTTATTCTCACACACCCTATACACTCTATCTTCGATTATTTATTTCATTTATTATTTAATAAATTCAATGGTATATGAATTTTATTAAATAAATTTTTATGCAAATTGCTGCAATGATAAAGTGTAGAAAAATTTATTCGCAACTACGTTTAATTTTGTCTAAAACGACTTTATTATTGCTTTAATTATAATTTTCTAAGTAGTGCTGTTAAATAATACCCTGACAGAATTTTAATTACCATTGCGGTGACCTACATGTTAACGTCTAACAATTATTACTTAACTCTTCATAAACGTATTTTAGTGGTTAGCTAGATTATTCTTTATCATTTCTCGTTAAAATTACGGCGAATTAATTTTATATAAATCGAGCAATTGTTTTTCAAATTTACGTGCAAAATTCAAAAATGTAAAATAATATTATTCCATTCTACTCTGTTACTTTGATGGAAATGCTCTGGTCCTAGGAACGTAGAAAAATTACAAGAATTCTTTTCGCGTTAAAAACATACTTTCTCTAACTCATTTAACCAATGAATAAAAACAAAATCATTCGTGCATTTAATTTCCAATATTTTATAATACTTTCGATGCTCTTTATTCGTCTCATTTCTTGTTCCCGCTTGTATTTTAAGATCCAAGAGCTCACCGAAAAAACATATTTAATCAGCGAATTTGACGTACTCGGCAATGACCCGTGGCGAATTGCGAGCGTTTTATGCCGCGACTGTATATGCCGACAGAAAGAAAACTCGGTGAATACGCGCTCATAAATCATGACTTTTTAGTGTCATTAGGTATATATAATAATGCGTTAAGCGAAAACAGAAGTATAATGATTCGTTCCAGGAAGGATCGTGGAATAAGAATCAAAGAAATGGAGACAACTCGAGGTTACGTATAAGTGGATTGTCGATGTCAATTATTACTTTTAAGTACGTGGAAAATTAAAAAATTAAATTATACCTTTTTAACAATTTACGAAAGAAAAAAGGAAAAGAAAAAAAAAATAAGAAAAGAAAAAGAGAAAAAATGAAGAAAAATAATAACGATATTCGTGCGAATAGAGAAAAGGAAAGCCAAAAATTTACGTCACGATTCCACATTTGCAATCTCCTTTACTTAAACATAACTTTTACTCTCCGCCTATGCTACGTATTTCAATTGATGTTTGGCCAAGAACATTTTTACTTAGAAAATACAAAACGAAAAATATAAAAATCATATCCAATAGATTTTCTATTAAGATTAGAGCTTAAGATTATATTAACGTATGCAATTATTAATGATTAAAACGGATATTTGATTCTTCGTCGAAAATTTTACTATAATTGAGATTAATGTAAATATTCGCTATAGTCTACAGGAATTTTTTTTATCCTACTAATTAACTGTATTTGTATTTTTATTAAAGAAATATATATATATATATATATATACATAAAAGTAAGTATATGATTGGCTGAATACAGTGATTCTCACTGACTCGTGTAATAATAAAAACATACAAAATAATTAGAATAACTTTAACTGGCCAAGCGCATTTATCGATCAAATTTCTCTTATTCTTTTAAATTATCATTTTAATTACAGGAAGTAAGTAATATTATTATTAAGCTCGTTTGCATTGCCCTTGATACAATTGAAACGTATTGAAACACGTGTACATCATATGTTTGAGCGTGGAATCGGAAAAGAATAAAGTAATTTGGACCAACTGCTCAGATCGAGCATATCAAAATCTTGCCACAAGATATTGTCCTGATAGATTATGTGTCCTTCCCAGAAATAAGTCATGTTACTGTATTTTACCGATTTCCACGTCTGCGCAAGAAGAAAATCTATTGTCACTGCCTCTCATTGAATGTATCATTAAAAATTTTGTATTATATATAATTACATTATAAACAATTTTTTTTATAAATTATTGCATAAAACAAATCAAATAAACGTAACATATACATGTACTATGTGTGTTTTTTTATTTTCTCAAGTAATTGTAAGATTGACTCACCATTTCGTTGTGCTTTATCCAAGCCAGTACCATCGTGTTCATTTGCACCTGAGCGTATTTCTTTGCCTTGCGTATGTAAAAATTTGTCAATAACGTGCGACTGTTTAGCCGATTGAGGTATCCTTTCAACAAATAATAACGGGGCTTTACACAGCCCGAGATGTTCATTATTTCGTCCAGAATTTTAATTAGTTCGTTTATATTTGTTAGCACTGATTTTATAATACTCCCTTTCTTCATATTCAGACAATGCATAAAAAGAATTAAATGGCATTCCAGAACCTGCGAGCGATTTATTTCATTAAATTATTACAAATAATCCTAACGCGTAGTTTAATTATGTATTCTTAAGTTGCCGGCGCCTCGGCAT